TCATATTTTGGTACAGATTACTTGTAAAAAAACGTTTTCACTGGCTCCCACTACAAAATAAAATAGATGGTGCTCAAGCAGTCTCTCAATTACATCCAGGCATTATGTTCTTTGTTTTAACTTGAAATCCACTCAGGTGCCCAAAGACGTCAAGTTGGAATGAATTCAAAAAGTTAAAACAGTAAAAATGATTTCCACATCTGCACATTTAAAACAGCAATATTTCAAGGAACTGTGGAGTGTCATGGCTAGTTGACAAACTTTGAGGACATGAGCAGAGAAAATAATTGTCAAATATGACCTGGGATAATATTTTCCTAAAACAAATCATAAAGTTCACAATACCTGGTTCACTTCATTTCTTATAAATGGTGTGTATAACAGATTTATTGACCTGCTTGGTACAGTGCTATACCAAGTGGGTAAAAAGAAACTAAAGTAAGTGCTGACCGAGGTGCTTGAGAAAGGCTAGTTCAGCAAGAAGAGCTGTCAAAATGGCTACACAGTGACATGCACATCTGCATAACAACTAAAGTACTGTCGGAAATAGAAAAAAACCCTGTTTTTAGGCTGTTACTCTGTATCCCTAAAATTTATACATGTGCAAATAGCATATGTCGAAATAACCCACTTCGGCCTAACTTGGCATTCAGTGGATTCAATAGGATATCCAGAAAAGCATGTTTACTCGTACGAATAGCTGCTGAAAACAATAGATAGACTATAGATGGCAATTAGGTCGCTCAGCCAGGTATGACGACGGACCGTCGACTCACCTGGCATGAAATGCACGTGCTGCCTACAGGCACAAGGGGTCAGCTCAAAGATATTTTGTGCTTTTTCATGTGTGGTGACTATGTCTCATCTATTGATTAACATCTTACATGTCTTTCTTTCATGAAGTTTATGTTGAGAGTTGTGAAAGAGTATGATACCTGATAACCATAGAAACGCATCGTATTAAATGTCTCCAAATATATAGGTGGCATGACCACAGGACTGGATATTATTTGTACAAATTGTTATGACATGTCGTGTACTTCCCCAGTATAATTGCCCTAAAGGATTATCTTATCTTAGCTGATATCTCTATCCCCCAGCCCGACCCCAACAATCGTCTGCGACACCCGTCCAGGTTTAGCTTTTGAGATGACCCCTCCTATCTGTTTCTTTTTATAGTGACAGTGAGACTCCATGGTAGCTACATCCTTAATAGTTTCAGCATGAAAGTTATTATTTCTTACGCCAGCTATCGTTTATAATGAAGCTACGTCTAATTTCAAATTGGGCATTTAAAAAGTGTCATTTGTAATACATAATCGTCGCACACTAATTTGCATAAAGCCATGGTCTGTTCCAAATAAATCGTTTTGGACTTAGAAAAAAACGCATTGCCCATTTCTGCACTAATCTCTCTTCAGTAAAGTCCTTTTTCTACGTTTCCTATGCCCCTACCACTGAGACTGTAGTTAGGCCGAACTTAGTTTAACACTTGCACATATCAACTACATAAATTGTAGAGATAAATGAGAAAATACAGTTTTTTCTATTTCCGACAGTACTTTAACTGAATTCTCAACCAAAAAATGTATTAACATCATCAGTGCACTCTGGCTTTTAAAATAGTGAATAGAAATTATTGATATGCAAATTACAAAGTAAAAAGGTACAAATGTATGTTGACTTTACAACTCTGAAACTCTGCAGTGTTATTTCAAACCTAGGACCATGTGCACAAAGCAATCTTAATACTACGATGATAATAATGATCATAGTAGTATCCTTGTGTTATGAGTGAGTGAGTATGGTATTCCAGCAACATCACGGCGGGGACACCAGAAATGGGCTTCACACATTGTACCCATGTGGGGAATCGAACCCAGGTCTTTGGCGTGACGAGCCAACACTTTAACCACTAGGCTACCCCACGGCCCCCTTTGTGTTATGGGTTTTCGGATGCTTAAGAACATCTGTTGTCTGTGTGATGGGACACGTCTCGTGATCCGGCGAATATAACAGCTCCATCTGAAAACATTACTTGATGATAACAGATTCATAATGGTCAGATTGCCTCGTTCAAATGTTCATTGCATCAGAGAAACCCTGGGCTGTGTTGACATCTGGTACAAAGAACATTTCTTGAAAAGACCAAATCCAGTCATAGAAATGGGTATCAACACTTCAGTATTTGTCTCATAAAACAGTATCAGTCATACCAGCCCAAAAGGGTGTTGAGCTAAACGTAGATATACAAAGAAAACTTGTACAAACACAGCAGTATTCTGAGTGTAAAATGTAGGAAAAGAATAAGAAATTATCGTACAAATTTGAGACACGTGATTTGTGAAAACAATTGAAATTCTGAAAATGATACAGATGAAATACATATATAAATATATTAACAATAAATAAAACAATCATTGTACCCCTGAATCTTCTGATTCATCAATTTGTATTTTTCCATAAAAAACATTCATGCATGAGTTCAGAGTGAAAATAATGTATTGGGTGGGTTAGCTTTTATTAGCTTGTGCCACAAGATGGTATTAGAGTGAGTACATTGTTTATCACAACTTACAGCTATATATCAGTTACATGGTGTGGAATCTTGTGTGATGCTTACAATCCAAGGATCATAATCAGGGCATCTGGGATTCAAGACCAGTCAGCAGATCCTGGCACACCTAAGGTTAACAACTCTACGTAGACAATTATTGTGCTAAAGCCAACTGGGCCAACTGTGTGCACCAAGATAGAAAATTGTCAATCTCCATGTTCAGGTTTTGTAAGAGAGTGACCACTGAGAGTGGTTGTTTTGTTTGTTTGTTTGTTTAATACCACACGCAGCAATATTCCAGCTATATGGCTGACAATCCAATGAGCATCCATCTATGCAACTGGGATACAATGACATTTATCATCCAAAACTGTGTTCCACAGCAGATATCGCTTGTGTGAGATCAGACGATATCTCCTAGGAGATATCATTTTGACAGAAGATTTTGTACAATGCCCTGACAATGCTATGATGTCATGAACTTGATGACATCACAATACTACAACATCGCTGCACTGCAACTCTAATGGCAGTCCAGTGTTCAGAGATGTACATTTTTCGTTGAAAACTAATGAAGAGTGATTTTTGATGATAAATAGAATCTCACCCTCGTGTCTTCTGATATCAAATATATCAACACTCGTTGATAAAAGTAAAAATATCCTCGGCAAGCCTCGGATATTTGTTTCTTTATCAACTCGTGGTGATATATTTGATATCAAAAGACACTCGGGTGAGATTCTCTATGTGTCAACTAAGTCAGCGAGCCTCACCACCCGATCCCGTTAGTCGCCTCTTACGACATGCATGGGTTGCTAAAGACCGATCTTAACCCGGATCTTCACATGTCGCATTGTGAGTGAAATGTACCACTCTGGCAAAGACTCCATCGTTTAAAGACCATGGTCTCATCCCTTGTATATAAGTGCAGTGTTAAACAACAAACAAACAAAACCGCAAGGATTTAAACAGTTTCATCAGTAACACTTGCCGAATGTTGAGTATACAGTTGACTACATGTGGCCATCTTGAAATTGAGGTGTGTTGATTGATTTGTACAGTTTCTTTGACCCAGTAGTTTCAGACATGAAAATGGCGCAATTTACAGAAAACCCAGCCACATCAGCGTACATAGCCCAGGTCTTGCACACCACTGACTTCTTACAATATGCATAATTAAAGCTGTCCGACACAAATAATGATAGAGGCATTGAAAGTTTTTCTGGGACAACAGTATTGACCAGAACTAAGCATTGTGCTGTATATGTACATCTAGAACAAATGGTTCTTAAATTATCATAACAAAATATTGTTAAAAGGAACACAGATTTTCTTCAAACAGACATGCATGGGCTGTATTGAATGTACCGGTAATTGTTTCAGAATCTGCAGGACCTACTATTGCATAAATTTCAGCAGTTTTATATATTTTTTCTAAAATCAACAAAGAACAGTATCTTCATCAATTTCTAAATTCCTCACAATCTTGAGTGAGTAAGTGAATGAGTCTAGTTTTACGCCGCTTTTAGCAATATTCCAGCAATATCACGGCGAGGGGACACCAGTAATGGGCTTCACACATTGTACCCAGGTGGGGAATCGAACCCGGGTTTTCAGCACGACGAGCGAATGCAATAACCACTAGGCTACCCCACAGCTCCCTCGCAATCTTGAAAAATCAGCATACCAGGTATATATATATCACATGAACCAAAATGCACATAGCCATGGATATGTCATATCCATGACAAATAATCCCATGGATGTAAGAAAACTGAATTACCATGTTAATCTGAAATGAATTACAGTCTATAACCAAAAGCTTTCACTTCACCGGAGGGACTATTTGTTGTAGTAAACGGAACTAAAGTCATGCTTCTGATTACCTTGCAAACCATATAACCTCAATTGCAATAATAATCATCATCATCGTCATCATCACAACTCATATAAAATTTAAATATTTTTTACAAAACTTCCAGAACAATGTTGGTGTTTCCTCACTACAAATGTCATTTAATTTCTATCTTAGATGTCTTACACAGATTCCTCTGAATGACTTAAGGCCATTTTAAAGTAATGTTGAAAACAGAGTATATTCTTACTTGCTAAAACATACACCCTATTCTTAACAATTTGAACAAAACATGTTAAATCAAGTAAAAAAAAAAAGGTGACATATTTGGTTTTATGTACAGAAGAGCACTATTCAAACAAAATGGGTTATCTCCCCTTGGGCAGCAGTGCCTCACAGAACAATACATTAACCAGCAGCATAATACAGTTACCTCTAATATTCAACCTACAACCTCAGCTGCTCATGTTGAATTAATAGATGAAAAGATTAATTTGCCATCAACAAATTCAGCCTTTTGATTGACATGCTCAATTTGTTTATCATAATCACATTTGTTAAAAGTGTGACTTTGCTTTGTTGAATGTGTTTGACCTTGTAATACTATATAAACATGAACATAAATTCAGCACTTTATAACAGCAGTATATTACAGAACTGTCCTACAGATGTCAGTAATTGTTTGTTTCTACAGTCGTATTTCTCACTGTTGTCCACAATGGTTGTTTTCACTTCAGTTAATGTCTTTATGCATTTGGTAAAAAATTATGGTGATTTCATGAATTATGTAGCCCACTATTTACTGACATCAAATCACATTTCTCATTTGATTTCTGCAGGCCAAAACACCAGCTTAATAATGCCAAAGTATTTTTTTGTGTCGATGGTGAAAAGAGTTGTAGGAGGGGAAAAAGAAGAATCTGAAATTAGACAATAAGTTAAAAACTATGAATTCATCTCATGAGTGCCATGAGCTGACAGCTTCCTCTTTTGTCCTTTTTCACTTGAGTAATTATGTGTAATTTTGGATTATTTTTGTTAAATTATAAACAAAATAGGGTTGATGGAACTGTGATCCATACAAATATAAAAATTATGACCTAATTTAAAGGAAGTAGAGATCAATATCAGCAGATATATCAATTCTGTTTTTGGACTGTTTCTGGTCCCATTCATAAAATAAGCAATCAAACACTCAACAAACAAAGTCTGTTCTTCATGCTAATATTCCCATTATCTTGTTTATTTGGGAAACTAAAAACTCAAACCTCTCGAAAGTTTACCAAGAAATTATGGTAAGAAATCACCCACAGGTTATATTTGAGAAAATAAATGGAGATTTTAAAACTTGACTCCCTCGGCTATTAGCCTGGAGGCTGGGACTACGCAGATTGCCACAGGTCTGACACTGCATTATCACAGCAAACATCTTTGAGAGCATTTAACAAAGACATCAAAGAACAACCAGCCTCCTCTATCAGGAATGTTGCTGTTGAATATTATTGTTTGGATAGTTACATCTCAGCCCATCATGCACTGGGTCACGTTCAGTCTACATTCAAAATAAGTTGTCTGGAAACATTACCCAAGGCCTATTTAGGAACAACCAACTTTCATGCATTGGGTCATGTTCAACCTACATTCAAACTAAGTTGTTTGGAAAATATTACTCAAGGCCTATTTAGGAACAACCAACTTCCATGCATTGGGGCATGTTCAACCTACATTCAAAATAAGTTGTTTGGAAAACATTACTCAAGGCCTATTTAGGAACAACCAAGTTCCATGCATTGGCTCATGCTCAACCTACATTCAAAATAAGTTGTTTGGAAAACATTACTCAAGGCCAATTCAGGAACAACTAAATTTCAGGTGTTACCAATTTCTTGTTTCATATGGTTAGAGCTGAGATCCAATATAATTATTGTAAATTATTAGGTCAAGAAATATTTGTTCAAAAAACATATCTAGAACTGAAGTTATTCAAACAATACAGACAAAAAATATGCATAAAAAATACAAATATTTTGCCTTTAACACAAATATTTAGCCTGTTATTACACATGAAAGTACCTGCATTTTCAATGTTATAACGTATAAATTTTAACAGTGAAATCTACATTGAATATTAAATAACATGCTTCTCTCCAACTAACATAAAATCATCATTGCCTTGGTCATAGTCAGCTGATGATTATTGATTATCAGAATATCAATAGCATGTAGTAACTAGAAAATAATATATGACATTTTGGTGTAGAAGTCTCACAATGATACAGTATATACAAAATATAATCTTGTCTTTGACATGGTTCCTTTTCTGCCAAAATAAAAAAATATATATATATACATAGCTTGTAAATAACACACAAGCGTACAATTACATTTCCACAACACTGTTCCTGAGATCTTGGAGTCATTTTGTACAGACTGTATGTCAGTTGACAGGCTGTAGGGCTGAACGATATACACTTGTGTCGATGCAGCATATAAAACTTGTGGTGATTGTGTCATACGCAACACAACCGTACATAACATGCTTCCACAGTACTAAGACATATCCTGAATGACATGATCAGAATAATGTCGCAATGACCTCACAGAACATCCATGTTGTCTTATAGATTCATACGTTCATCTACATGTTACCTTATTGATCCCATGAAGTGAGTGGTCTTGTGAGAAAAGTGACGCATATAGAAAGTATGACCCTTGTCCAGTGCTGTGGAAAATCTTTTTTCGGAGAATGTGGTTAAAAAATTGGTGGCCAGTCTGTAGAAAAGTATATAATGTTTGACAGGTTCCACGTGATCTTGTAAAAAATCCTTCTTCAAAAAAAAGAAAAAAATCTTCAAAAATTCCACATGCAAACCCTCTGGTTTCAACCTTCCAAGATGGGATTTCTCCAACATATTTGACATTTGACTGTTCATCATCCCACAGAATCCAAATAACAATTGGCATATCCTACACAATGACTTCAGGGTACTGTCTCTTGGTGCCAGACCATCTCCATCTATGTTCGTATAGGGCTGACACTGTCTACTGTTTGGTCAGAGGGGAGCCTGTGCCGCTGGCGCACTTGCTCTCTGTAGTCGACACTTAAATTGTTCAGCTGTGGGTTGCCTCCATTACGGGCGGAGTCAGGAGAATTGTCCACTGCCTCGCTGATGGTGGTTGCCGTGGTGGTTGTGGTCTGCTGGTCACTTTCTATAAGCTCCTTCTCGAGCTGTTTGACTTTCATGATGGCACTAGGCCAGACTGTTGCTTGTATAGCTCGGATGCAGAGTCTGTAAGAAAGCACAATATGATGAGGAAACACAAAGGTGACAGAACAAAGTAACGAAGATGTTCTTATGCTGAAATACACCTTCCCTGCCATAAATGTATAAGCAAGTCAGTTAAATGTTGCAATAATTGACTGACTGATTTCGATTTTACGTCACTTTTAGCAATATTCCAACAATATCACAGTGGGGGACACCAGAAATGGGCTTCACACATTGTACAGATGTGGGGAATTGAACCCGGGTCTTCAGAGTGACGAGTGAACGCTTTAACCAATAGGTTACCCCACCTCCCATGCTATGAACAGTATTCCAGTCATTTCACTGTTTAACAGCTCAATGTGGGCGAAAAGTCTGAAGTGATGCAAGTCTATGAGCATGGCTGTGGTGCTCACTCAGCAAAACAAAATCAAATCAAAGCAGGATTCAAACCCACAATTATTATCTTTTCTGTTTCCAACGGATGCAACTCAGCTCAGCTAACCTTAGACAACGTGGGCATTTGACGTATACAATGTACAACCCAGCTGATTGCGTATTATCACATCAATATGGACCATGTATCATGTATCAGCCACCATTTTCCCTGGGCCCCGTTCCTCATAGTGATCTCATCACCAAGTCAGCCCTTGTTATCTCCCTTGAATGCCGAGCACCAGGCAGGGCAACAAAAAGTACCATCATTTAACATGTTACGGTATGATGCATCTGGGGCACTGAACCCCTGCAGATACTCTATTCACTAGATCATCAGGACAGATGTCTCTCCAGCAAGATGCTTGACTTTGAAGTTTCAAGTTCAAATTAAAAGCCACAAAGTATTCAGTTACTCTAAAAAGATGCCTCAACAAAAGACTAATGCTTAGTCGCTGAAAAAATATATTTTTTATCAAAACAAACAATTCCTTTTAAATTGATAAGGAGCCCCAGTGAGAAAGGAGATTCAGAACCGGAGGAAATCTAGACTTGCTTCATTTAGGGCTTTAGCATTGCAAGGAGGGCATAGCAGGAGGTGAGGTGAAGTGAGGTGAGGTGAGGTGAAATGGGGTTTAACGTTGTACTTAAAAATATTTCACTCATATGATGATGTGCATGCGTATGTATGTGTGTGGCTGCTTGTAGCCCAGACTGAAGCTGGTTTTATAGTGCTAGCTCACTGAGATATCATGCCGCAGTTGAGCATGAATACCCCACTCAGACACAGTAAACTGACTCCGATGCGACCAGTCCTTGTTGTACCCATTAATGCCAAGCACCAGGCAGGGACCAACAAGTGCCATATTTTAACGTCTTTTGGTATGTGGATCAAACCTGCGACCTTCCACTCTCCGGGTGGACGCTCTAACCACTACACCACGGAGGAGGGAAAATAATGTGGTTGAGGGACTGTGAGAGAGACTACCTCGACACGTACCTTGGTAAGAGAGCTACCACACAGCTGATGATGACGACACAGGAGTGGATGGGCGTGGATATCGTATTCTCCATCACCCAGTAGGGGTTTGAAGGATGGTCCCATGTGAAAAAGATGGCATTAGAGACGACCGCAAACACCCAGAAGAAGAGGAAGGTCATGATGAGGATAAGCCACTGGATCCAGATCTGAATAAATAACAATGATTATAATAAATATAGTTGCAAGCAATGATGAGGGCTCCTTGGCTTTAGGTCTATCTATTGTATTTGAGGGCTAGAAATCATCGTCCAAAATGGAGCCAGAACACGTTTTTGAAAGGCAAGCGGATCTTCCAAATACATCCGGGCTCACGGGGGTCATGCACCTTTTAAGAAGTTCCAGAGAAGAAATAGTTCCCTCTTTAAAAGGCTGTATCTCAGTTGTTCTTGGGCCTACGGTCAAAACAATTAAGTGTTCTGGAATCACCAAGACTTCATCTGCCATAATGGCAGAATTTGCACAATGGTTACTGGACATCAGTTATGGAAAGTTTGGAATGTCTAGAGCTGATGGTTCGAGCTCAGCACATTTTGGGAGCAAACTACTCAGAAAACTGCTGAAAAACATGACCAAAAACTGAAAACAAAAATAACTGCCAAACGATACATTTTAGCGACTTGACCCGTCCAGGCAAAATTGTTGGGAATTCGATTGTGCATCTGTACAAGAGATTTGGAAGTGTTGGAACAATTAGTTCTTGAGATATTTGCTGTCAAACCTTAACATTTGGGAATTAATATTGAATTATCTGCCCTTTGCTATAGGGCCTAGAGCCAAGAGATTTTTAAGGGGAATATCTTCACCTCGGCGGGCATCAATGTGATTTTTTGTACGCGATTCGGAGCATTGGTTTAGGAGGTATGTTTGGTACAAAAATCGGCAGAATAATAAATAATAATAATAATAATCCGAACGATTACAAAAGGTCTCCTGCCTAGAGGCAAGGAGCCCTAAAAATGCTAACAATACTGCTACCAATAACTTGTTATTTAAGATATGTTGAATCCCCAGCATGATCTTTATGTAATGACTCACTTGAAACCATTGTACGTTTTATATACCTGTCAATATGCTAAATCATATGGAGACAACTTTCAGAATGGCTTGCAAAGAATACTGAAGGAAACATCAAATTCAATGAAGAGAATATATTACAGTGAGACCTCGGATACCCGGACCCTAGATATCCAGAAACCTCGCCTTCCGGTCAATTTTTAGAAAAAACCATTCTCTTACGTTATAAAAGTGACTGTCTATAACGGATATTCGGTTTCCGTTTCCGGACGGTACATTTTACAAACAAACCGGCTAAATCAACACAAAATTGACTCACCTATCCGCACGAAGCTTTGATCTACCGCTAACCGTGTGAAGGGAAGTGCGAGAGTCCCACGTGTTTTGACACGAGACGTGGTGTCATATATATTATTGTGTCTACTCACGGATCGAAGCGAAGTGTAGTTGACAGAAAATGCATAATATAGCTTCTCTAAATATCATATTTATTGTAGCAACAAACTGGCTTGCTTATTTTACCCCATTCAACAATCACGAACTGATTACGCCTCGTTTTCCATTGACTGCTAGTTTACAGTAACATCGGTAAAATGTGTGAATTTAAATGGCTTCCGTATTTTACCCCATTCCATAATGCGTACCGTTCATGAGGGTCCGATATAACCTTAGTGTTGATTATATATATTTTACATAAAACTGTAAATAAAATTCTTTGGGTTAAATAATAGTATTCTGTGTCAGAATTCATCCCGTTATATTATTGTGCATGTTTGAACTTGTTAGCGGTAGCGATGTGCACAGCTGATTGCTATTTCCGGCTTTGTGTATGCGAGACAAATACGCCGGTAATCTTAATCCCTGCAAATAATACAATGCCCAGCAAAACAACTTATAACTTAAAAAGGTAAATAATCTTGTCTAGTGATATTTAATTGCAAATTTGACGTCTCTACTGACAAAGTCGTCTTCTGTTGTTTGTTCACGCGAAGTGATACGATGTTGTTTATTCAGTCAAAGCAATAAAAGTGCAGTGTGTCGATATTCAAGCCAGTTATGTTGTGATGCTGTTTTTGAATGTCTATACATGTATAATAAACGCTTGATGATCATAAATATTTTGGATTTTCCTTGAGGTGTATGAAAACCAAAAATCCAGATATCCAATTATCCGGACGATTTACGTAAAAACGAATGTGTCCGGATATCCGAGGTCTCACTGTATTTGGATTTAAGGGTATGCATAATAACCCTTTGAATGCAATCATTCTTATAACAATATCTATGCTTTACAGATGTACTATTAAGAAAATCAAACCAAATTTCAAACCTTTACAACAAGAAATATATAGATATTATCAAACAACAAAATTCACAGCATTCTCCAACTGTAAAACAAGCAAGCTTTCATGCCTGTTGGTCGTCTCTACATATGCTTTTCAGCAACCCTGTGTAATGTTTTAGATAGAGCATCTAAATGAAAACATAATCTTGTGTACATCCATATGCACATATATATGTACATGTATGTATTGTTTTTTTGAAATGGATTGAAGTGTAACCAAAAAGTGGAAATTTAAGAAAAATAAAAAAAACAAAACAATACTGCCACCAGGAGTACTGATGTGTACATACTGACTGAGTTTTAGTTTTACGCCGCTTTTAGCAATATTCAAGCAACATCACGGCGGGGGACACCAGAAATGGGCTTCATACATTGTGCCCATGTGGGGATTCGAACCCGGACCTTCGGTGACGAGCCAACGCTTTAACCATTAGGCTACCCACATCACCCGATGTGTACATACACCATGCTAGAATCCATACATAAGATGGATGCCCCAAGTGCTCACTTTATTACCCCTGTCAATGGGTGACTCATGAATATATGGGTGAAAATGGATCTTCAGTAACCCATCCTTGTCGTAAGAGGCAACTAACCCCAATTTTCTTTGTAAGTGAGGCGCTTATTTTGGTACTAAACAGTAGTAAAAATAAGATTTTGGTGGGTTTGTCATTTAACGCTGCACTCAGCAATATTCCAGCGGTATGGCGTCAGTCTGTAAATGATCGAGTCTGGACAGACAATCCAGTGATCAACAGCATGAACATCGATCTACGCAGTTGGGATACCATCACATCTGTCAACCAAGTCTGCGAGCCTGACCACCCGTCGCCTCTTCTGACAAGCATGGGTTACTGAAGATCAATTCCATCCTGATCTTCGTGGGTTAGTAAAAATACGAACACATGTCATCACACCATCTGTGACCATACTTACCCAGGAGTTGGTTTCTATCACAAGATGCAACAGAATAATGAGGATAAGAGCTGTCATGATCGTCGTACCGTACTCCCATATTCCAGCATTCTCTGCTGTGTAGGCCTGGAAACACAACACACACTCATTACCATTGTGTACCTATCCTATCCATACTGGATTACTTGTCACTGATGATGTCAACAGTATCACATCCGTATCACGATATCACAGCTGTATCATCATGATATCATGTCAATATATCACATTTTTGCCGCAATATTTCATATCCATATTGTGTCATGTTATCACATCACCAGGGATGGCAACAGGAAAATCTATTTTCAGATGAAAACCTAATACTGTGTCATTGAATTGGGGTTCAGTGGTGTCGATTCTGAAATAAAATCGACGGCAAATCAGGGCCAGATGTGTTCTGAAATAAAACCTGATGTTTTTGAAATAAAATTGACGGAAATCTGCCGATCGGAGGAAAATTGCCATCACTTTTTCAAGGATATATCATTGTGACATAACAGATCACATCATGATATCACATTTATATCACATCAGAGTCATATAATGATATCAGAGTTTTCAATCATCAGAACATTACAGTTTGAATACATCAGGCCCTATGATGTTATCATAGTCTAAAATCATCATAATATCTCAGTAACATCACATCAGAGTTATAATTGCCAATATCTAATCTGTTTTGTGCCACATTTCTATCATGGACTCACAGCAGTATGTTAAAGGTGTGTCATGATATCAGGTCTAACTCATGATATCACAACCATGTATATAACAGCAATATCATCATGTTATCACAACAGATATCAAATCTACATCATAGTGTCACACAATGCACCTGTATCACGATATCACAGCTATACCATATCACAGCTGTATCATGATATCACAGCTATACCATATCACACCTGTATCACATCACAGCTATACCATATCACAGCTGTATCATATCACAGCTATACCATATCACAGCTGTATCACGATATCACAGCTATACCATATCACAGCTGTATCACGATATCACAGCTATACCATATCAAACCTGTATCACGGTATCACAGCTATACCATATCACAGCTGTATCACGATATCACAGCTATACCATATCACAGCTGTATCACGATATCACAGCTATACCATATCACAGCTGTATCATGATATCCATGCCATACCCTTAAGATATCACACCTACATCTTGTCAGGGAAATCACAGCTTGTCATATCCACATCATGCTATCTCATCTGTATTATGATATAACAGCATGAGTGTAGGCATGGAGATTTGTTTTACTGTTTTAATGAGTGAGTGAGTGAGTGAGTTTGGTTTTACGCCTCTTTTAGCAATATTCCAGCAACATCACGGCGGGGGACACCAGAAATGGGCTTCACACAGAGTACCCATGTGGGGAGTCGAACCCTGGTCTTCGGCGTGACGAGCCAACGCTTTAACCACTAGGCTACCCCACCGCCCCATTTGTTTTACTGTTTTAGTTAGTGAGTGAGTTTAGTTTTACACTGCTTTTAGCAATATTCTAGCAAAATCACAATGGGGGACACCAGAATCATTTGACAAAACAAGTAGTTACAAGGACTGATGTTATGGTCTACACATCTTCTGACTGCCAGCACAACGTCCTACTTCAACATACGAAACTCTCTTCTCATTTAACAATTTCAGTAGTTTGGAGGCCTGTATATATGGTCTATATGCTATCCCCTAGATAGGACCGACAGCATGGTTTCACCTGGGACAGAACACTCTACTTCTATCGATATCAGGCCAGTTCTTCAGTTAACAACTTCAGTAGTTCAGAGGCCTGTATATATGGTCTATATGCTCTCCCCCAGACAGGACTGAAAAGGACGGGGTTCTCCATTCGTAACTACTCGTGTCATTCCGGCAAGCCGGATGGCGGCTTGTACCCCTCTCGTAGCCATGTTCACGACCTGGTCTTGTCTAAACGCAAAAGGGCACAGAGATGAAAGTAGTGTAGGACTATTTACAAGGAAAGATAACTCTGAATATCCAAACATGGCTACTCCTAGCAATTTATGATACAACATGAAAGTCACTTTAAGTAAATTTCTTATGTCATTAACATATATCAGTAACAAGATAAATATATATTCACAGAAATAATAATGAAAATAGATGATCGCAAAGAAACTATTTGACCTCATTTCACATTTTACTACGCATGATTTGATTGGTTTGCCACAATTCTTCGCAATAATGGCATACTTTTCAGGTACGAGTCTTCTTGTAGGTCACGGAAAGAGGCGAGTAGTTACGAATGTAGCTTCTCCACACACCAGGATACCTCTACAGGCAGTGTCTGTCTGCCTCCCTGCCTGAGGAGGGCGGTCTGCACTTTATCACTTTTCTATCACCACTCATCTTTTGCCACTGGCTACGTGGCTGTTTTATATCAATAAATTAGACTCAATTGTCATTTTATTGCAATTGTTCTTTTAAATAAAGAGGAAAATAATGATATTAAAATTGTACTGACGAATGGGAGGTCAGTGATGATACTTTTTTGGACAGATAAGACAGAATATGGAGAGATCTCACTTTGATGTCCTTTGATTAAGAAATACAGTTCGCCCTACCACCATGTATAGTGTAATAAAATACACTTTTGCCCTGAACTATTATAGTTAAAGCGCGAGGGGCGGCTTGCGTCCGCGTTTTAACGATATAATAGTTCAGGGCTTAAAGTGTATTACACTATACATGGTAAGAGGGCTAACTGCTTTCTTCTCTTAGATGCCAAATTTAATACTTTCTAAGGATAATTACGATTAATTTAAGGCAGAAAACAAACGGACCTAAATTAAGAATCCTCGCTTTTAGGGCTAAATATCTTCTCTGACTATTAAAAAACAAATTTTAATTAAATATCTTCTCTGAATTATTTTAATTACCTCTGTCATTAACGTAAACCACATGGGGCAATATGAACGTTGCATTTCTACTACCAGCGTAAGTTTAGATCAGTACATCCAGAGGAAGTTAAGTAGTCAAGCGACATTCCACAATTGCATTGTGGGAATGTAAACATTACGAACGTTACCGTGTCGTGGAGCAACAGCAAACCAAGAAACTGGATGCAACGGAGTAGTTTACTGTAGGAGGCCGTACGAGGCGATGACAACTGACATGCATCGTGACGTCGATTACGAGGGGGCACACTAGAATGGCGCAGTGACGGGATAACGTCATTCAATTGTTACGTCATCAAAAAACTATACCTTTATTGTCGCAAGCGTCCGAGTGCTTTAACTATAATAGTTCAGGGCGAAAGTGTGTTTTATTACACTATACATGGTGGTAGGGCGAACTGTACTTCTTTTCTTAGATGCCAAATTTAATACTTTCTAAGGATAATTACGATTAATTTAAGGCAGAAAACAAACGACGGTGTCGGTGACCTAAATTAAGAATCCTCGCACAGGGCTAACTGGTGCGCTGTTCTATTGATGTGTCTGCCCCCTACGTTAAGACGAACGTTACCAGAAAAAAACAAATGATAACAGTTTGATGACGGTTTACGTTCGGATTAAATATCTTCTCTGAATTATTTTAATTACCTCTGTCATTAACGTAAACCACATGGGGCAATATGAACGTTGCATTTCTACTACCAGCGTAAGTTTAGATCAGTACATCCAGAGGAAGTTAAGTAGTCAAGCGACATTCCACAATTGCATTGTGGGAATGTAAACATTACGAACGTTACCGTGTCGTGGAGCAACAGCAAACCAAGAAACTGGATGCAACGGAGTAGTTTACTGTAGGAGGCCGTATGAGGCGATGACAACTGACATGCATCGTGACGTCGCTTACATTGTGACGTAATGTAAAATGGTTCGATTACGAGGGGGCACACTAGAATGGCACAGTGACGGGATAACGTCATTCAATTGTTACGTCATCAAAAAACTATACCTTTATTGTCTGATAATGTTGTTTTTTTGGATTGTTCTAACCGCTAGGCATCTTAGAATGCTAAATATATCATGGAGATCCTGCTACAATGAAATTGCATCATAATACATTCAGGCCACTGTGACATCATCAGTTAGTATGAAGTCACAATCAAAGATGTCACTAGTCTCTCTGACACATGGATGAGATTCAGTACTAATCCGAAATTCATTCCTCCAATTTTAATCAGTTTGTATACAGCCAGTGTCTGGAGTGTAAAATGTATCATAAAGTCATTTTATTGTGATATCTCCATAGAGAACAGTTTCAGATAATAAAATGAAATATCCAGAAATAACTTAACGAAGCATTTCATACGGTTATCTCCCATTTGACAGACACCAATTTGACAGGTTTACTCCCAAAAGTTAGACGTCCCAGTTGTCAGACAAATCAATCAGGCGTGACTGTATTACAACCTAGTCTTACCCACTGATATAATGAACCTGTCCCATACACTAATGAGATGGTTTTCACTTTTGTACAGAAATACTTTGATCAGAATGGTAATGTTGACTGGCTTACTCAATCACTGGGTTCTTCAAATGTGTTTTCACAATGTTAAAACGGCAAATGTATCACTTGCCAAATTCAATAATGCTTACTCTTCTGATCACAAGCACATTCTAACAAACCCCAAATTAATTAAACCACTCACTGAATATCTTATTCATACAAAATTATGCCAAACAATCTAGCAACAAAAACAATTTTATAATAATGTAATTTTTTGAGTAAAATTGATATTTTATACTTATCCTGACTCATGCTCTTTTGCTTGTCCCCTTCCTCTTGCGAACATAGTGGAACACTTGTATCTCCTTAATTGAAGCTCCCTTCAATGTAAAATCACTAATTGGTACTCACCCAAGAGTTACCTCCCCTGCCGTAAGCGCGGGAATAGGTGTCGCCACCCTCTGGCCTCATGCTTCACTCTCTCCTGATTTTGCGAGCCCAACACTTGAATTTACAGGGAAATCCAAAGTGTTATGTGGGGAGGATGGGAGGGCTAACCTCATGAGTCAGGATAAGTATAAAATATCAATTTTACTCAAAAAATTACATATTTTTCCTTATCCTGACTCATGCTCTTTTGTTT